TAACAACCAGACGTTGCTTTCTGGGTGGCTTTTTGACTAACATAAAATGTAGCCCAGTATTTTAGAGAGCTTTTGGGGCACTTGGGCCAAATTTGAAATGAATTTAGATACTATTTTTTTGTTTTATTTGGAAAACTTCTGTAGACTGTAGGTGCTGCATGTTTTCAATCTGTGTCTGCTATTTGCTTTGAATCTTTGGGTCCGTTGGAATCCAAAGCTAAAAAGGTTCATGCAAAGTGTTGTGACCCAAAACTGTTTAATCTTAGATCTGCGGACTTGGAGCCCACAGCCTGACTCGCATACCTGATGAGTATCAGCTGAGCAAGCATCGCAGAACCTGACTTCTGCCCATGAACCTTTTCCCTGGGGAACAAGAAAGTAAATTGGCCTTTGTGGGGGAATGGCCAGCTAGACCGGGGCCACAGTTTCCTCATGCTCAATACCAGACTGCACAGTACGCTGCTGCAAAGTCCTCCTTCCTTCTAAGTGAAGCCATATGAAAAAAAAAAAAAAAAATTCCACTTTTCTGTGAGTGGCTGAACCAACCAATTTGTTCAAGCTATTCTTCTGGTCAACTCATTTATAACCAAAAAAACACAGATATATTGAAGGCAACTTAAAAAATGCTGAAAGGGAAGAAGGGGAAACAGGATCTAAACCATTTCAAGCTCACAATAAAAAAATTAAAAAAAAAAAAAAATTAACTGCACATGAGTAGGTAGACCCTCCAGCAGTGTAAAACTTAATCCCATGTTAGAGCATGATGAGTTAGATATGAGTTCATGTCAAAAATAAGGCTCTAAAAGTAAGCTCAATATTCATGATTAAGAGGTCACAACATGACCAGCTCACTGTGTCACGCTTGCAAGGGAAAAAAATCCTCTGGCTTAAAGATATGCAGTAACATAGGTCTTTATTTCACTTGTCCAAGGTTTTTACTTGAATGTTGTTCTCAACTACTTTGTACCAACGTACCTCAAAAAAAGTCACTGAGAGCCTTAGCAGCACATGGCTTGAAGAAAGAGATGTGCGCAGGTTTATGGTTAATATGTCTGTATATCAGTTCTCATCTATACAGAGTGCCTGTAGGAGAATTGTAAATTAAAAGATAGAGCAAGCCTGGTGCTACAAGTTCTTGGGTAAAAATGTGCTTCACATTTAAATGTGCTTAACATTTAAAAAGCGTCAGCTAACTTCAAGTGAGGTTTTGCTGGGCTGTGGTAGCAGGCTCTTTTTCTTGCTGGTATTTTAAACTCACTTTATTCTTGATGAACATTGATTTACTTTATTAAGCCCAACAGTGAGGCAGGTAGCGATTTGCCCATCAAGCTGAAGGGACAGGAGGCAGTGATATAACCTCCCAAGCCTGGGAACATGGGTCAAGGACCATATTTGATTTAATTAGAAAGGGTGAAAAGGTGTTAAGCACATGTAGTGCCACAGATGTGTTTTCCCAGTATTGATGGATTACAGTGTTCATCGAGCAGCCCAATTTGCAATTACTCAGTTTGCAATGGGTATATTAATTCAAACAGGTAATTTACTGCACTGTGGACAAGAACATGATTTTCTCTTTTGACAATATTTTACGTGAACTATAAAATGATTTTCTTAATATTTCATTTCCTTGCCCACGATAGATGACATAAGTGGCTGCTACACAGCAGAACAGTTAAGTCTATTGAGTCTATTTACTGTGAACTTTTTACCTTGTTTCTGAGTAGCTGTTCTTTAGATGCACCCATTAGCTCTTCCTCATAATGTTTCCAAATAGCTATATATTTCATTCTCTTCCTTTGTCTTTGGGTTACTAAATCTATCAATTTACTGGAAAGCTTATGGTGCTGTCAGAAATTGCATATTATGCCCTAGATTAAGGCTGTTTAGCTTGAATGTGGCAAGTTGTTTAAAAATAGACTGGTTTACACTTTGTATTCATTCTCCTCTCCAGAACTGTCTTTCATGACAATGTAAATAAAGAACTCCCAGAACTGATACAGCAGAGCTGGCACAGTTAGAAGAAAAGGCTCGGCTATTACCCAATTGACATTAATGCAACATAAATCTTAATTATATTGAACAAGCATCAAACTGCAAGGTCTTAGGAGATGGAGTCATTCGGTAACAGTTTACAGTGAACATTTATCTTCAAACAAATTCCCAGGCCTCCTTAATTTCCTTTGTAGTCTCTTAAAGGGGTTGGAAATGAGAGGTGTAACAAGGATTCACTTTATACCCTGCTCTTTTAGCAGTATCCAAAGTTGACTCCCCAGCATAGACTAGAAATTGCTAAAATAGTAATTTCCTATCGTGGAGACCGTGGACTTAATCATATCTGCACAGGACGAGGTTGCAGGTGGAGTTAATGACTCCTGGGTTACTCTTGCGTGCTGTCCTGTCTCTGCAGGGAGCAGGAGGTCTCTGTCCTTCTGCTCACTCACATCTGCATCACAAGACTGTGACTTGCAAGTCTTGCCCAAAGGGGATACTGGCTGTGATGTTCTTCCTTTTAATCCCCACTAAAAATTTCTCTCCTCAGAGATGTTTCCGTATTAAGCTGGAATTCCATATGGCATCATGATTCTAGATGTTGTTTCCAAAATACTACTTTTTTTTTTTTTTTTTTTGGACCAAATTGTTTTCAGATAAAAACAGCAAGTAAAATGATGAGAATGAGTTGTTTTGTTTTTTTTTTTTTTTTCTTTCTCAACTTTGGTTTATCTCACAGTTGCCATGAGCATGCTATGCTTGTAATTCCGTAAGCTGCACCCATTTTACAGATTTCCTTAAAGACTGTAGGGAAGGAATTACAGGATCATAGAATGGTTTGGGTTGAAAGGGAACTTTAAAGGTCATCTAATCCAACCCCCCTGCAATGAACAGGGACATCTTTCACCAGATCAGGTTGCTCAGAGCCCCCTTCAATCTCACCTTGAATGTTGCCAGGGATGGGGCACCTACAGCCCCTCTGGGCAGCCTGTGCCAGTGTAGGCAATAGTCAGTTTTTCCCTTTTGATGTGAAGTATTAAGAAATGCCTTACATTCTAAAAAATACAAAAATTAGTATTAAATTTCTAATTTAAAAAGAACCTTTTGTTTCTCACAGGTTTCTCACATTCTCAGTTGAAAGGCTCCAACCTGAGCTTTACTGGGGGCTCTGTGCATTCACCCTTCAATATCAGCCCCACCCTAAACTGCCTAAAAGCTTCACTACCAGCTCATTAGTCACTTGTTTAAAAACTTAACCTCTCTCTCCTACAGCTTCATTAGGACATTTCCTCCTCCATGTGAAACCCTGGGCTTTCTCATCACTACTAGTGGAAGAGGCAAAGTACAATCATTACTGAGTTGCCCCAAATTAAATGCATACAGGAGGAGTCTTGTCAAAAGACATGGAAGGATGAAGAAAGTCTGGTGTTTAAAGCAGCCCCCCCGTACCCTGGGGGAGCGATGGGTGCACAGGGAGGCTCAGCCTGCCCAGGGGCCAAACCACAATTAGCAGAGAGAGTGGTACAGGTAGAATAGCTTTAATGTCCTCTGAGGTTGGAAAAGATGCTTCATCAGAGTAATGGTTTCCCTCCAAAGCAGCTTGAATTCCAGCTGGAGGGAGCAAATGTTCTTCCTGGGTGTTATGTGCTATAACCATCTACCTGGTTTCAAGAATTAAGGAAGCTGAAAATATACATTTTAATTTTTATTTTTTTTTTTTTTGTCAAGTAAGTTGCTTAGGGAGGTCTGATAGATGTTTTCCACCAAGCCCTTGCAAGGGCATCCCAGGCTTCTGGCTGCAAGTGGCCATCCCCGTAGTGAGAGGAGGGAGTGGGGTTGGAGCTCCAGCTGCCAGGGCAGGGGTGTCTGCTGGGGACGTGCGGGGGGCTGGGGGGAGCGACAGCTGCACAGCTCATCCCAGCTTGAAAGAGAACTCCAGGCCATGGCTGGAAACACAATTACACATCTGGGCACAGAAATGTTTATGGAGAAGGGGAAATTTTGATAAGAGTGCAGAAATATTTAACGATCTTTGTTTATCATCCTTTTCCCTTAAAAAAAAAAAAAAAAAAAAAAAAGACAGCAGGAAAAAGAGGGAGCAGTGAGTTTCACAGATAAAAAGTGAATTCTTGCTTTTCTTTGTTAACATTGCTGTCACCCAGCAAATGCTCCTCTGGAGCCGGCTGACCTGCTGTAGAAGGCTACGAAAAGTGGCTTTTTGTCCCCATCTGGCAGTGTGCGTGTTGCGGGAGTGTGGAGGCTGCCAGCTCCCAGGCAGGGAAGCCTTGCTCCAGCCGAGAGGCTGCGACACATCAGCTAACAGCACCAGGGACACGGCACTACGGCTTTATCAGGGACCTGGATGCTCAACATCTGCTGGAGCAGTGTTCTGCATCTGTGCTTGTTTCAGTGCCTTTTCTTCTTAATTAAAGGTATTTTGTCATTTATGGTATTTTATTGGTCACCTAGCCATGCTACCCAGATGGGTAAGAATACAAGCAAGTTTTACATCTGAAACTATAAATGTATGAGCAGATCTAGGCTGTGTTAGCAGTCTATGCAAAAACTTTTTCTGACTCAGATAATGAGTAGTAGCAAAAGGTTTCTGTTCTCATTTTAATACTTTAAATATTGTGATTTGCAAGACTGTAACATCCATTTGCAGCATGCATGGGCTGCGCAGGACTGCCAGCTGCTCTGCAAAGTTTCTTCCAGAATTTTGATTTTGGAGCATTTAAGACCTGGTTCCCACTACTATGTGGGCAACACTTTTGACTTCAAAACCTGCTTCCCAGCTTGCCTAGGAGCCTGGCCTCTTGTTTCACAAAAACTGTGTCTTTTGTGAAAAAAGTGGTATAAAAGATGTGTAGCTTACTATCTTTTTGGTAGTTGGGAAAAGAGGGGGAAGACACGAGGCGGTCTGGATCTGAGGGGAAGGACATGTGGTGGGTCCCCTCCCGAACTCACTGCCCGTGGGGCATCGCTAACCCTCTGCTCTCTGCTTTCCACAGGCCCTCCGGGGAGGCGGGGGAAGCCCGGCCGGCGTGGAGAACCTGGTAAGCGTCGCCTTTCCTTTTCCCTGGGGCTGGATGGGAGCCTTTCGATAATGATGCTGGTCACCTTCATCTAATGGGGCATGGAACCGGGGCTAATTGCATCCCTGTGTGCTAGAATTAAAAAACAAACCAAAAAAATCTCTCGAAACCAAACAAAAATCCAACTCAAAACACCCACTGATGTTGCATATTTTATCCTTCCCTCTGTTTCTCCCTTGTAGCATTCAGACTCATTATTATCCCATCCGGCAGTGATGTGAGACTGAAGTAGCACAGAAATATAGCAGCCTCACAGCCCTGCTAGAGGGGGGGTGTGCACTGGCTTGTTGCCTGCGTGTGGCCGTGCCCATTCATCGCCTGCCGGACCCACACGTGTGTTGGATGGTGTCTGCATTTCAGGGTCAGGGATAACCAAACCTCAGCCACCAGCCTTGGGCACATCCCCATAGCGCTCAGTGTGCCTTCGGACCGGGTGAAACCGCAGACCGGCCTCGCTGGGAATTTTTATTTGAGCTAACTGTTTGCTTTAATTATGTGCCTCTGTCATTTTGGTATCTGGTGGGTTGGTTTTTTTTTTTTCCTGTCTTGTGAAATGGGAAAACACCGATCCTGTTTCAGCTGGGGAGAAGTGCTGTTTGCATTCTGCTGTTAGGTCTGAAGAGCTGCTGGAGAGGGGAGAGACACGGTTGGCATTGCTCTTTCTAAGGAAAACAGACAGATGAGTGTACCTAGAAAGCCACCCAGAGTTTGCAACTGCCTCTGCATGTCAGAAAGCAGCAGATGAAAATACACGCTTCTTGTCTCCTAAGTTTCTTGAATGTTGAGAGCATGAGTGGGGACCAGGTAGATTTTTATTTAGCAAGGAGGCTGTTCTCTGCTGCCTGTTGCTATAACAAATACATGGCTGAGTTTTCAAAAAGGGCAGCGTAACTTTCCCCTCACTAATATCTTAAACAATTTTTTTAACTCTGGGGAAAGGAAATCAGGGGATTTGTGCTACAGACCATGGACTGATCTCTGTGGAAGGCAGGAAGGCATTTCCCTTTTCTCTTTCATTGATGGTATTTCACAGTGCATTATGTGTTTTCTGATACATTTTTGCTCCTGAAGCATCAGCGATTACTCATGGCCAAGGGATGGGTTCTACACTTGTGCAGGTGGTGATGGAGCCCAGCCAGTTTCATTAAATTCCGTTTTCCTAGCAGTTGGGCTGTAGGAATAGCCACCAGGTAGCTTTGATTTTTTGTTTGGTTGTTGCTTTTTAAATATCACTAAGGGCTTTAAGGAGCATAGTGGAGTAGAGCACTCAACCAGGGGCAGCTGGTAATGTCAGCCAATGAATTTGGTTTTTATATGCAGGCATTTATGTAAACGTTGTCCAAGATGTCTCTCTAGCCCATACAAAAATCTGGGAGGTAGTGCTGAGCTTGAGTGTGCCCTTGCCCTTTGCTCCCTTTTCACTGTTTCATGTGAGAGGTGCTAAAAAGCAACATGTGCCCTCGTGCTGCGGCACATCCACGAGTGCCACTTGAGCATCCCTCTGATGAAGTGGAAAAGCTACCAGGGAATCAATGCAGGACCAGCAGGAAAACAAGCATTATAAAGGAAAAAACAAAAACAACAACAACAACAAAAAAAAAGAACAAACCCAAAACCAACAACAAAAAAACCCAAAACAAACAAACAGAAATAAAAACAAACAAACAAACAAACAAAAAAACAGTCATTAATAACTACTTACAATCTTTTTTGAATTTTTCCACAATTGTGGAGGAAAATCAAGGAGAGTGCAGCAGATGCCCAAGTGCCCAGAAACGCACGCACAGACACGCTCGATGGGGCACACCAGTTAAATCCATGTAATGCAACGTGGCGCCTGCGAATTGCTCCGCTGCACTGCAGATAGAAACACGGAGAGCAGACGTCCCTCTGTATATTGGTTTTGGCCAAGCTGCCAGATGTTTGTTTTCATAGATAGCTTGAATATATATTTCTATATTTGTTTGAGAACCTGACCACACATAAACCAGGTCCTTGTTCCTTTGCTACAGCTGATAAATGTGAATAAAACTTTGTTTGTGTAGCATGATAGTGCCCATCCCCAGGGACCCTGTGCGGTTATGGCTTTACAGCCTCCAGACAAATGCTGTTATAGAGCCAGAAGGCTCAGCACTGGTCTGAGCCCTGCCAAGGGTAGCGTTTGTTCTGGCAATTGTTGAAATGGGACATGTTGAAAAACTTTTTTCTGATTCATATTGAAACTTTCAACGTATATCTCTTAGAAACAAGCAGAGAAACTTTTAAGAGATCATTCTGTCCCTTTTCAATCACACCCTCTTGTTGATTTAAACCAAGACTGAATTTTACTTTTTTCTTTTGCCATGATGGATTCATGTAATTAAAAAAAAAAAAAAAGAATTAAACAGCTCTGTTCCTCTAAACCAAGCATTCGTCATCCTGAAAACACGCTGAGGCAACTGCTCTCCACCATAGAAAGACACCATACCATAGAAGATAAATTTTAAACCATTTCTAGGAAAAAAAAAAAAAATTAACTGCTTAGGCAGTTTGGAAGTGGGGCAAGCCTGGCTGCATGTGCTTCAAAAAACACATACTGAAATGTGGAGGTGAAGCACCATTGCTGTCTCCTGATTCCTCCCCAGGGAGCTGCTGAGGGCAGGCGGTGGGTGGCTTGGCTTAGTGTATTTTGTTGTAGAGAAGCATAAACGCAACAAGTCTCCCCCCCGGAGAGCCTGCGGGCAGAGGGGCCATGCTAAACCCCGGCATTTCCTTGTGCTTCGCATCTCTGGTGGCGGCTCGAGCTTCCCGTGGCAGCACAGTTGTCCCCGCGGTCATCTCTTCCCTGACCTCAGACGTGAAGACCAGGTACCTGGGGGAGCATTTCTGCTGCTGTCAGCCCAGCTAAACAAACCAGGGACTAATTGAGTCAAACGGCTCCATCTGACACGTTTTATTTGCTCTTGCTGTCGTCTGGCCCCGCGGGAATCGCCGCTGCGGCAGAACAGCACGCATGTCCCAGGGCTGGTCACAGGGATGGAGTTGCTGTAGGGACAGTCACCTGAGTGCTCCCAGAGTGGAAAAGGTTACTTTTAAAAAACAATTTCTTCTGCTCTTGCTACCGTGAAGCCAGGAAATTCACACCAGCAGCCTCGTCGGGGAGGTGTCACTCCTGAGCTGGCCCTTTGGTGCTCCGGTCCTGTCCAGCGTGTCCCAAGCTCTATCCCATCCTGCCAGGACCAACACACAGGTCCCGTCATCCTTATTCCTGCACGTGAGCATCTGCAGTTTCTTGTGCTGCTGGAAAGCAAACACAGCCTTGAAGACCCACATGCACCCACCCATGGAAACAATTGGTGCATAAAAAGAAAAACACATTTTAATACAACCTTATGTGGGATTTGCAGCCTTCTCCAAGTGTGAGGTGGGAGGAAGGTTTTCCAGCACCAGCTGTTGTGGTTGGTCCTGACAACCAGCCTGCACTTCTCAGATACAGTTCTCTTTCCATGCCAAAGGCAAAATCATGTTTAATGTCATGTTAGCTTGTTTTTTTTAACATGATATGTCCCAGTGAGGACACAGTTTCAACTGTTACAGTGAGCGTTTGTGAAATAACATGAATTTTACCAGGGGACCTGGGAGGTTTTGCTCCCTTCTTGCTGCCAGCTGGTGCTGTGTGAGCAGGATGGGGTACGGCCGCACAGCCCTCCCGAGGCTTCGTGTTTATTTTTGTAATACCAGGGTGTTCCTGAAGGATGGATGAACTGGATCCAGGATTTGGGAATTCAGTTGGTTTAAATATTGGTTCAGACTGTGTAAAACTAGATAGTGGGAAATGATGCTTGTGTCTCTTGCAATGGCATGCTGCTTTCTTCTCCTGGTTTGAAGACTGATTCTAAAACTCGTTTGAACTTCAAAATCCCTCAAGAAAAAACAGGACAAAATACACCTGAAATGTTAAGTCTGGGAAGTCTCTGAGTGTGTCTCTGCTCTCCTCACATGAAGCAAGAGCTGCTGCTGGACATAAACACCCAAAGCTGATCACTGAGCTCTTGGGTAGTGCCTGTTTGCATCACCTGTGCGCAGCTTCAGCAGAAGGGAATAAACATTGGCCATTTTAGGCACAAAATTTCCCTTGCCCAGGTAGTCTTGGAAGGGCATTTTTTTATTTCATTGGAAAATGCTAACTTGGCAAAATTGCTGTTTCTGGAAGTAAAAGTTTTGTTTACAAAATTTTCCTGTTTTAAAAATACTCGTAGGGGAAATGTTTTGAAATCGTTGAAATAGGATAAAAGTCTTTTGCCCCACCCCCCATGACTTCTGGTTTCCAAATTTACATTATGCTACAACTGTTTCTTTAATTTGAACTTCTAACAAAGTTTTGATTCAAAGTTTCTTTGTTTGTTGGGTTTTTTTTTTTTTGGTGTGTTTTTTTTTTCTTTCTTTCTCACAGCTATTCTGTTTACAGAAATATCCTGATTTGGAACAGGAAAGAGTCTAAAGCTCTTTTTAAGGAACAAAAGCAAAGTAATTTCTATGCAGGGAAACGTTATTTCTCTCCCAGCCCTGCATGTACGTAAACCCCATATTTTATACATTAAGACATTTTCAAACTCCTTGGCCATGTGATTGTGTGGACAAGTGTAAATATACCACTATTGTTATTCAGTACGCACATGTGTGCATGCATGCATGTGGGTAAATCATGAAGAACTTTGTATTTTGGGGGAGACTTTCATTGCTCTCTGTATTTCTCATGATGAGTTGCATACATATACCCTTGTACCTGAGGACTGCTTGGGCTTGTACTTAACTTTTGGAAAAATCCAATCTGTCCCACATTTACTCTCAGTAACGAGCCTCTCTGCTAGGACAGCGTGCTCCCTGTGCGCACCCGCGCTGAGGCACAGATAGGAATTATTGAGGTCAACAGGCGGTGACAATCTTTTTCAGACTGATGTAGAGCTGATCTCTGCAACTTCTTATGACTGTAGCAGCTGTCCTCTTTCCTTGTTGCCCATGACCTAGTTACTCCTCGTATAGCATCCTGGATTAATAACTCCCTGTGTATGTATATACATATTGTGTGTATAAATACACATACATATGTTTTTATATAGATATTTATGTGTGTGTATATATATACACGTTTCTTAAATTATCACTTTTTTACGTCTTCAGGTGGCCACGGACATGTGTGTGCTACCTCAGGGATGGGTCCTTTGCCCATCAAGGGCATCAGCAAAGTCCCCTCTGACTCTTCCTGAGCTGTTGGAAAGGTCTGGCTGGTTTTGTTTCCCCCGCCTGGCAGTGCTCTCTCTCTCTCTTATCATGGCAGGAAACCTTGCATGATAAATGATTTACAGATTAAACAGAAATGGTAGCTTATCCCAAAATTCCCAAGCTGCAGAAATACTTGGAAATAAATTACTATGACCTGTCATCTCCCATATGTTTGTGTACTGCTGGGGGTGATGCCACTGTGACCTGCTAGGTCTTTGGATATAAAAAATAACATTAATATTACTCAATCAGGAAATCTGGGTCATTTATTTTTAATGAGTTTTTATTTTCACCTCCTGCTACCACAACTGTTCATGTCCCTAAGGAATCTCTTGGTGTTTCCAAGTATCTCCATGCCCTTGCAGGCTCAGGTACTAGGTGTTCATTCCTGGAAGTAGAGCAGGAATGTGTGTTGCAGGTTATGGAAAAGCATGTCACATTTCCCTTGTTTAGAGCAAATCAATTGTAGACCAAAACCTCTGTATTTGCAGGTTATTTTGTCTTTCTTCTCTTCCTTCTGAAATAAGGCCCCAACCTAATTTGTTACAGTGTTTTAAATACACAAAGGGTGTTTACAACTTTTGTTCATTATAGTAAGAATTTCCAAGTGGTTTTGTTCTTCCTTTCAAGCTCTCAAACTGATTCTCACTAGACAAAATTATTAGCAGTAAATTCTAGCAAGTTTCTCTAAAAAGAGCATGTCTCTTGTGCAATGTGCCCTAATCAAGGAGATGGGTGTGTGGGGGGCAACCCCCTGAGTACACGATTAATTTATTTATTTATTGTTAGATTGCAAAATATTTGACTTTCTTCCATAGGAAACAAGTGTCTTGTGGCGAGGCTTTTGAAAAACATGTTCAGCAAGCTAGAAAGTTATGTTGCTTTTAAGAGGAGAAAAGATGACTTAAATAGGTTTAACTTAATGAAGATTTATCTAGCCCCATTTGGCCAACAGCGCAGCTCAAGATTAGTGTAACTCCACCGACGTGGATGGAGAGCATTCCCTGTTGCGTATACAGACACCCCACCCCAATCCAACATTAATTCCTGTATTTGAGAGGAAAGCATTTAAAAAGAGCACTTGCCTCCATGGTTGGGAGAAAACAGTAGCTGAGAAGAGGAAAAAGGCAATGAATTCCAAGGAGATTATAATTGGTACATGATTGAAATCGCATATTAAAATAATTTCCCGATCGCTTCTTATTTGAGACTTAGTTTTGACTTTTCTACAAAAGGGTTTTTGTGCGTAGCTTGGCATAAGTGAGTTAATAAATCAGGTATATCATTCTTAGTTAATAAATTGGCATAGAGCCATTGACTTCTGTATTTATAAGAATTTAAACCAAGTAAAGCTAGCTAAGAGCCTGTGTGAGTTTTAGCACTGAAGAAAATGAGGCTTCTGGGCATGAAGGGAGGTTTGGAGGTTGTGTCTTCCCATCCACCCTGGCCGGGCGCTTGGCCACGGCTGTGTGTGGAGCTGCCCACGCGAAGCTGGTGAACACAGGTTAACGGGCTAATTCTTGACAGCAGGCGCTGCCTGTTGTTATTTGCTTTCAATCCTCATTCTTAGGCTTTTCTTGGTCTTTGTTATTCAGCTTTTCAACGTTTTAATTTTTAAACAGATTTTAAAACCTTGAAAAGGCATTAGCTTGAAATATGCTTTCTGTTTTATATTGTTGAATGATGAACCCGTTTGATTATTTTTTTTTTCCCTCCATTTTAAATTTTCCCACATTTTTTCTTTTTTTAATTGCGATTAGTTTCTGGTTTTCATCAGGCAGGAAATGGAGCATGAAGAAGCCCCAAACAGAGAGCTATAAGCTGCCTCGAAAACAGGAGTGAAATGTGGATTGCATTAGGTTAGGGGCTCAGCATTCACCTCTGTGTCGCACCAGCCTGGGCGAGCGGTGGGAAAACTGCAGAAATCAGTGTGGTGGGCAGTGAAGACCCCTGTGCTGTAGGGAAATGTAGGGGGATTTTTTTTCTACTGCCATTAATTGCAGCTTCAGACTGCGACACCAGTACCCAAAGCCTATTGTAGCTGTAATGGGTTTTTCCCCTGGATCTAAGGCACTGCGCGTCATCCCACCGGCTGCCTCCGAGCACAGCAAAGCCCTCGAGCAGGGGCCGCGGGGACGTGGCACAGGACCACGTGTGATGTGTTTTGGGGTCGAGGAGGGATGGGGACCAAATGACAATGACGTTTGGGATCTGTGGCAGCTGTAGCAACACCCTTGCCAGGTGTCCCCAGCACTGCTCCTTGGCTTTTGCAAACATATCTCCAGCTCTTCTTGCGTAACTTGAATAAAAATAAGCTCCATGGTGAAAACGCGCTTTTTGCTTATAAAATTCCATCTGTGTCTGCTTTTTGGTGGCACTGCTCTGCGGTTGCATGTGATGCCCCAGGCCCTGAACATGGATGATGCCTTGTGACGTGTCCAGGGTCTCGTGGAAGGAGAGGGAACAGACTCACTCTGGGGAGAAGGTGGGAAAAGAGTGGTTTTGCACCCCATGTAAGTGCTGCCGTGCCAGCAGCACGGGTGAGATGGTCCCATAACAGGAGGATGCAGATGGTGTTAAGTGTATCTGGAAAGTCATCTTATTGGAAATTAACTGAAAATTACTGAATCATTCTGAATTCTGTTCTTTCTATGTGCTGTTTTATCATTTATTTATTTTGTCTTTGTAATTAACTTTTTTTTTTCTTTGTTTTTCTTTTGTTTTCCAGGCCCTGCAGTAAGTATCGTGGATTTTACTGTTGGATCAACAAAGTTAAGGCTTCCCCTTCCCCCCGCTTCCCTGCTTTTTGGTGTCATTGCAAAAGCACAGCATTTTTTGGTAGAGGTGTGTCTGGAAGCAAAATTGGTACCAGATGCTGCTGGGATTTTTTATGTTTGTGGGGTTTTGTTTTGTTTTGTTTTTTTCATGATTGTAGACAATTAGAAAGGAGAAAAAAGTTTTAAAATGTTTAACTTGCTGCCCTGAGGGACTTCCAGTAATTTTAAACCCAGAAAATATTCAGCAAAAAAGAGTTTTCCCTTTAAAGAGCTCTTTAGTCTGCTTCCATTTAGCAGAAAGAGTGCTGTACTGATATTTTAACATTTTAGTGGGTTTTTTAGTTCTAAAACTCTGTCTTGCTTTTCTTATCTGTTGTGTTTCCATCATTTAATATGAGTTTGGTAGCCTCACAGGGGAGCCTAGAGGGAAAGCCTTAGCTTGCTTGCTTCTCTCTTTGAAGTCTTGGGGAGAATAATGAGCATTCCTACCAATGCAACCAGAAAATTTATGGGGAATTTGTTGTTTGAAGGGGTAGTAGTTGAAAATGTGTCAACTCCTCCTTCCAAATGTTCAGATGTGCCTTTGGCTGTGCCACCACCACATCCAAATCTGATGTTCTCCCACTGGTTTTGGAGTGAGAAAACAGTGTTTCATTTGTGCCCTCCAAGTTGCTGAGGGACTGTTAAAAAATAAATTATGGTTATTAGGTGCTTCTGGTTTTCTACCTTTCTACTTCCAAAGGAGGAGGAGGAGGGGCACAGGCTGTTTGCAGTCACGTTTCCTCTCTATTGTTGGGCTAACAGAGATGTTTCTTCACATTGTTCTCTTCCTATAGAGCCTCACTGGGTTGAAAAGGGATCACTTCAGGAAAAATAGATTTGCTAACTATTCCTGGGCTAATCATTTTCCAGTTCTGTAAATCTGTTTAAAAGCCAAAAGGTGACAAGGAAATGCACGTGGAGTGTGGGGGCTGTCACAGCACCAGGACTTTGGTTCTCCTGGGATTGGCAACGCTGCCTGTGTGTTTAGTTAATGGCTTTCAGCCCTTTGAATTTTTGCTTCTATTTCAAGGTTGTTTTTTAATGTAAAGACTTGAGAGGTTTGAGCAAAATTATTGTTTGGCCAGGTATCAAAGGAGCAAATCAGGAAAAGTTAAGTCTTAACAGCTTCATCTTAACCATCCTTACAGGAGATCTGAATGAATTTGCTCTAAAAGTTGTGCCTAGCATTAGCAATAAATACAAGACTCTGGCTTGAGAAATGCAAACAAATGAATTTTTCTTGTTAGCTTGTGTTCAGAAATGTAGTCTGTCAATAAAGTCATTTTCCTGTAAATACTCTGTAATTAAAAACTGCAACGCAACGTCTCCAACCCACACAATACAAGTGACTCCGTGGGTTTTTGAAATGTTTAGTGACTTGGGCATTGACGCGCGGGAGCACGGCTGGGAGGGGAATTCCTGCCAGCTGCCGGCTGTGCCAAAGCCGGCACCACCGTCACCCACCGGGCGAGAGCCCGAGGTGCTGGAGAACATCGGCTGGGCACAGGCGTGTGCGCCCGGGGAGCACAGAGCCAGCCCCCACAGGGCTTCTGCTGGGAGGTTTTTATTCCCCGCCTCCAGCAATTCATGCAATTTGGCTTAATTATTAAGAAAAAAATGATCACTCTATGGCAGGTTACAAATGACGAGCACACTGCCTAAAACTATGGAGTTTTATTCCATATATACATCTTTTAAGGGAAATTTTCCTCTTGATTAAAGTACTTTGGCTTATTTAAGACAGATTTATTTAACCGTTTCAGCTCTGCTCCTGCTCAGACGCTGTTATCAGCCCACACGCAGCTGGCTGGATTACGCTTCCTCACGTGTGCTGTCTGTTCACTTTTATTGTATGCGATTCGACATAGGCAACATATGGTGAACTATTAATTTTTCTTTGTCTCTGGTTGGTTTTATTTCCTGGTTCCCACGGCATGATTGAATTGCAAACGGAATATAGGGGAGATTTAACATAAACAAGACTTTTTCTTTTTTTCCCCCTCCCTTTTCCCCTTGCCTTCTTTAAAAGACAACCCCTGGTTTAGTTAGGGTTTTTTTTTTTTTAAAAAAAAAAACAACAAAAACAAACAAAAAAACCCCCAAAACAACAACAACAAAAAAACAAACTGCATTTTTAGTGTAAGCAGGATTTGCCAGAGACTTCTTTAAACATAATATATAATAAAAGTTCTAGAACCCACAGAACCACAATATTATTTTATTTCAACAGTACTGTATTTAACTCTATTAGTTTCTTCTGTTTCTTGATTTTAGCCATAAGGAATCAATTACATCTTACATGTACAGCATCGCACTCTGCTAAAACTGTATCCTCAATTCCGTTGTTCCCTAGTAGCAGTTGTTCTGGTATTTTATTTTTTGGCTGTCATAAGCTAGTTGTGTATATGAAATTATTAGAATTTGTGGTACAGGATTTGTGGCTGTTGGATGATTTATTGTCCTGTCTGTGAGTAAGGGGTATTCTGCTCAGATGTGCTATAAAACCTCTGTTTTGGAGGGTATTAAAATCACATGCTGGGTAGGAAATTTCTACAATTGAAGGATAGACTTACCAACAACTGTAATTAAACATTTACAGTCCCAGATATTAACAAACACTTTATGTATTAGCATGCTGGCTGGCGAACTCACCAGCGAGCGAGGACCGGGAGTTACAAGTGTTTCCTATTTATCTGTGTGCGCTCCAGTGCCATACGTCTCCATAAAAATCTCACTGTACACTTTATCCCAAGACTGTAATTTGTTAAATAGGTGGTGGTTGAAGTCAGTGTTTTTTCTGGATGAATCAGTAGTGCTGCAGGAGGCATTAAAAGCTGCAGGGGAACTTAGCAAGATGGGAGAACCCCCGTACATGCTACGAAGGGGGCTGCCAGAGTTATTTCAGGCCGTACGAAATGTATGAATCTGACTGTATATCCGCAGCATGCTGACATAACCTATGTTCGTGGTAGCAGATGATGTTGCTGTACCAGACACACACTTTACTGCCTACTTGTGTACCAGCTAATACTTAACAGCTCCTTCCTGGGAATCTGCCTTATGTCTGGCTTGCAGCAGGCTCCTCTGCTGTAGCTCACGGTATGTTTAATGGCAGCTTGAGCTGTAAATGCCTTTGGGAACCCCCCAAGGAGAGCAGAAAAGGTGAAATATCCCGAACGGGCTGTGTTCTATTCCGCTGATCTTGCAGGTGTTGCTAGTAACTTCGGTAAGGTCTTTCCCCATAGCATCAGCTTTTCTTTCTGCTTCGCTGCAGACTAAAGCAAAGCTTAGAGGTGAGCTGGGAGAGCTCATCCTGCAGGGAAATTAATGGAGCTAAGACAGGGGGGAAAGCCTTCCTTGAATCAAGCACTGGAGTAGGAGTTTGAAGCTCAGCGGTTGCTCCCGGGCTGTGCCAGCCGCTGGCTCGGCAGTGCCGCAGCCTCCCCGGCCTCTCCCCAGTGCACCCCCCAGTGCCCACATCCCAAGGGCAGGGTTACGGCCACGACTTGGTGTGTGCCACGCACACCCCTGGCTTCAGGGGTGGCAGGGGCTGAACACGGTCACCAGGGATGGGTGTCAGTTGGCAGAAGCCTGGGTAAGTAGCTAAAGGGAAGCACAAGATCAATATCTGGGGGAAATATGCTGTATGTGAGACCTTTGTGATAGGAGAATTGCCCTGAGAAGTTTCGCTGGAGAGCTTAGTCCTGGGGCCAGCTGGGGAGCCGATGGCCGTGTCTCCTGCCTGCTGCTATGTGTTGTCATGCTGGTATGGGTGCATTGACTGACTTGTTATCTCACTTGTTCCCCCACCACAGGGGCAGTCAGGACGCGATGGTTACCCGGTAACTCTGCTATTCTTTTTATTCTCTTCTAATCTGCGCTCCACAATCCTCTTCATCTTTTCCATGGCACTTGATTTTCTTTGCCTGTTTCTTTTTTTTTTTTTTTTTTTTTTTTCTTTTTCCCCTTCTTCCCTCCCTCTTTGTCAGTGATAGCTTTTGAGAGATTTAGCCCTAAAACTCAGGAGTCAGTGCAATATTCTCCATTAATGCTTATAGGGGTGAAATTCTTGAGCCCTTTCATGGTATTATCCACACTTCTTCCTTAAAAGGTCTCTACACTGCAAAGTTAGTGAAGGCTTTGGGGATTGTCCTGTTCATAGCTGTAGGTGGCCAAATATGGTGACGTTGGTAAAAGAGCTTCAGGTGTTGCGATAGGTCTTCATTTGCCCATCTCCAAAAATGTTTCCTTGGGAGCAGAGGTGTCCTGACAAGCCTGTCAGCAAGTAGAGATTTTGCAGAGGCTTGGAGGAGGAAGGGTAATTCTGGAGGTACTGCCCTTCCCATGCCCATGGGCACCACTGAAGTGTCTCTGTGTTAGAGGGAGGTGTCTTCCAGGAGTGGAATAAAGCTGGTAACTTGGAGCTGTTAAAGGCTCTGAGCTGCTTTCTGCAGGAGGGAGATCCCAAATTGAGCCTCCCAGTTGGCTCCCCAGGTCCCCATTAATGCACTTGGCTGGCCATGGTGCTGCGGCTCCACTGCTCCGCAGGGAGCAACTCCCAGGCTGTGCACTCAGTGTGATGGGTAGGTAAAAATCACTGTGTAGATTCCCCCATGTTCACAGCATGTTTCCAGCTCTGCTCCTGCTTTTTAAATGAGTGCAGTGAGTTCTGCACCGCCTGATGCTCTGGAAGGGCCTTCTTGGCTATTTGCCCTGCTGTTCCATTTATAAGGTAAAGAAAAGTAGTTAGTCTTCTCCTTCCTGTGGTTGATGGGGGGCAGTTGTTTAGTTTTGTTTTTTGTTTTTTCCCCAAAGGAGTGTTAGAAAAACTCACTCCTTGACTCTGCCACCTCATGCACAGGCCAGTTTCCCCCTGAATGCCCATAAACTATGGAACATCTATTGAGTTTTCTGAGTGTGATGGACTGTGGGAGCTCAAGGGAGGAAGATCAGAAAGGAAATACAGAGCTGTGTTTAGTTTTTATTTCCCCTGGACTCCCGTGAATCTCCCTGTGGAAAAACAGCAGTGTTTCCCCAATGGCACCAGCGCCAGAAGGGGCGAGGTGTTAGATGGGGTTAATTTTGCCAAACAAACCCGTGCTGCCACTGGGGCTCTGCCAATGGATTTGATTGAATAAATTAAGTTTAGGATGAGGGGAAAGGTGGGAGAACCGGGATGCTGATGTCCAGGGGAAGGACGGGCCCATCGCGGAGGTTTGTCTCCCTCAGGCGGTACCTGCCCGCAGCAGCCCTGCACCCCCCGGGCCCCCACGGGCTGGGACTGCGGCACCCGTGGGTGAGCAGCCGTGCTGGGCCCCGGCTGAGGTGCTGGAGCAAGGAGGTTGTACAAATGCACGCGTGGCTTGCTGGAAATGAAAACTTGAATTTATTAAAAACTAAAATTGGGGGAGTTTTCTCTAATTGAGCTGTTCAGTGGCAGTTTTAGGGTGGCTTTCTGCCCTCACAGATACGGTTAACCACTCCTGGATTAGCAGTGCCCGTGGCAGGTTTGTCCCTTCTTCTCTGTGTCAGTCATACTCTGGCAAAGCTTGTGCATGTGGTTTAGTTGCAGAGCTCCGAACACCAGAAACACTGGGAGGAAATAGGGACCTTTCCCTAGGATGGAGCATCCCCCCCAGCCTGTCCCCGTGTGCAGCCCCAGCACTGTGCCCATCCCAGGTCCTGATTGTGCCCATCCCAGCTCCTGTCAAGGGATTTTGGTGCTGCTCCGGCCCTCCTGGATGGTGTTGGGGCCTGGCAGTGATGTCCAGCCCTGCTGCTGCATCTGCACTGGGAAAATGAAATTAATGTTGCAAGGGGGTTTCCTCCTCTCTCCTTCCCCCCAGGACCTGCAGTCCAGTCAAGCTGTTCAGCTGGTCTTATTCCTGACTTTGCAAAAGTGACTGAGCCAAGCCCAGAAAACACTGAATTACTGCATCTGTATGGCTGTGGCTAAGCTAATTAGCTTTATCTAATAAGGAGGTGACAATAATTGCATTTCTGAAGCAATATGTGTACCTGAAGAAGGGGGAAACTAAACATAAAGTCAGTCTGAGTGTCTTGTTCAGCAGAAGCATATGGACAGGCTTTATTACATCCAGTTGTGTAGTCAAATTGATTTAATTATTTAGTTCCCTTCAAGGTGATCAAATAAACTCCTGTTTCAGGAGTTAGATACGGTGCAAATGCAGAAATAGCATGTGGATATTAAATGGTGTTTGGTGTCAGAGATAGGTGGGGTAACACATGCATCCCTTGGCTAGAGGTGCTTTGAGTTTATTTGTGAGCTGTTGGTATATAACTGAGCTGCTAGTGATGGAAGCTTTCAAAGGATGAAGTGAAGCAGAGGTCTGGAGATGGGGCTCAAAGAGAAAACAGCTTTTATAGGATGCTTTCAGTATTTTGGTAGTTAACATCTTAAGAGGAGGGGATTGAGCCCTACAATAAAACTTTACAGCAGGAACAGTTTCTTCTTTATGAAGTTCTGTAGGTTCATTGTTATTTTTTAAATCTCAGAGAGGATTAATTCCTATTTTTAGGCCTATGGCATACCCTACTAACATTACCGTAACAGCTATGAAGAATGTTGGGTTTTGTTGTTTTTCCAGTCTTGTTTGACTTGGTTTTGACATCCCATTAAACATGTATCACAGCAGATACCTCAGCCTGAATTTCAGTGTAGGTTCCAATGGGCTAAGGGCTGCATAGGTCTGTCTTCTCTTTGCCCAGTAACTTTTGAACTTGGACCGTTTCAGCAAAATTTGTCAGAAGGACAAAGGCTATGCAGATAATTAGTTTAATATGAACTTTTGATATTAGGGACAGGTTAAGGGAAAAAGAGCCTTTTTGATATCAATGGTGAGGCCTGAGCTCATGCTACCATACACATGCCTTTGCTGTATCAGCTGCTTCAGAGGTTGCCTGAAGATTGTCCTTTCTGAGATTTTCTGTTTCTTTTTTAAATGCAGTGCTAGGGAGCTTTTAAAATGTTTTTGACCCCCAGGCCAATATAATCCACTTTGGGGGTTTTCTAACAGATGAGGAAAGCTGATGTTGGGAGGGCAAAGCTTGAGCTGCCAGAATTGTAACCGCATTTAGCAAATAATGAAATTGCAAAATAAAAACTCTCCTCTCCAGTTCCACGGGGTGGAAATTGTATTTGGCCCAGGTCAGGCAGAGGCGGCTCCCATGGGCTTACACAGACCCTGGAGGCTGATGAACAAGGCAGAAACCTGTGACTTGCCATGCTTCTCACATCGGTTGCTGAGAGATGCAGCTCTTGGGGGACAGAAGGGTCTCCGAGAGCGAATTTAAGAGCTGTTATATTGAATATAATTTGGGTTCTGCAGGGGCTTGAAGGTGGGTGAGTACTCTCTGGAGAGCTGAGGGCATAAAAAGGCAGAAGATCTATTTAGTGTCTAAAATATCTGCAGTTTTTTCTTTTTTTTTTTTCCTCATCTTGGCTGTGTGATTTGTACATAGTAATGGTGGCAGTGTGATCACCATAAGCTCCTGGATTTTGGGGTGCAAATCTGCTTAGTCTGAGACCCTGCCTTGTACCTCCTGAGCTTGCAAGAACACAAATGAAGGCAACAGGGAAGCTTTTACTCTTTTTGATGCCAAAACACTAATCCTGGAAGTTCTTTTTAGAGAAAATTACCTAAAACACCTTCTGAGGGGAAGCAGAGCACTTTACCTCAAAGGTGCAAGAGAAGCAGCAGGTCACTTTTCTCATCTGATATTTGCGTGGTCCTTCTTGCAGAACACCATGATGTTCCTCTGGCTCTTTGTGCCGGTGGGCTGGAGCAACACATAGGTGTGTAAGGGATGGTGTACTGGGGTGAACTGGCAGCACTGGTGACTGAGAGCTACAGAATGAATGATTCCTTTATACAGAAATCTCAGAATAATTGGTAATTGCAGACTGATTGCAGGGTTCCATTGATTCATTAGAGATGCAGTGGTCTCTAAGGAAAAAACAGTGATAAAAATGCTGCATAACATGAGTAGTTCAGGAGAGAAAAGGACAGTTTTCTAGACAAGGTCCTGAGCAACTTGATCTACCTTTGGTTGGTCCTGCCTGGTGGTATCGCTGTGTCTGCAACTCCCCGCTCAGGGACTGTGGCTGTGGGTATGGTGATGGAGCCTCAGTTGTCCTTATTCCAGGCTTTGCACAGGTCCAAGTGCATGTTGAGGTCTCCCTGGTGCCATGGAGGGGGCTGCTGCAGGACGGCCACCAGCCACTGCTGGTTTAACTGCATTGTTTCACTCTGGGGCTTCCCGTCGCCAGCTTTTCTGAAGAGATGACAGCAGCCTTTAGATCAGATTGATGAGGAAAATTTGGATGACACCTTTAGCCTTTGCCAAAGGACCACCCGGCCCATCCCCAAACCAAAGCACAGCCCCGAAGTTTGAGCTTGGGTTTGCACGAGGACACATTGGAGCAAAGGAAAAGCAGATGTGCGGCCGCCGGGACGATGGAAATGTGTTTCTTGTTGGGCAGAACCAGGCACCGGGACCGGGATCTCCTGGGTCTTGTCCCAAGCCATGCTTTCTGAGGCAAGGAGCATCCGCACTGCAAAGTGCTTCTCCTCGACTTGATGTGGTGTCAGCGTGTCGAGGGTCATTTTCCCTCGTAAAGCTGGGAGGGGAGCAGAGGGACTGGCTGAGAAGTGGGCTGATGCAGCAAGGCTTTTGGCTGCTTACGTTAGCAGGGCAGGCAGCTGCATGTGGGCAGGAGGAAAAAAAGAGAAAATGAGGAGCAGATGGAAGAGCCAAACTGCAAGTAGGCTTTGCAGCTGACCTTTCAGTGCAGGCAGATCTTCCTGTTATGTAGCTGGTT